TGCGATACCTGTTCTTTTCTTTCTTTCGATCATTTTGTTTTCTTTTTCCGAGTGGTTTGTATCCTATTTTTGTTTTTTGTTTTCTCGCGGCGTCGTATGTGCCGGGTTTTGAGACCACGGGCTCCCCATTTTTTGTGGACTATAGAGCTAATGTGAGAAACAACAACAACAACAACAACATACTTTTGTTCGATGTACAACAGCATATTGTATATCTACAGGTATCATGCGGTAGGGGGGGGACGTTTCAAGGCATGGGATACATCTGTCGCGCAAAAAGGTGTCCAAAACTACGTATTGCCGGCCTGTCGACCTCGCATGTGCTTGTGCGGTGCTGATACAACAGCACGAGCCCGCACTCGTAGCATGTTTTCGCTACAAAACAGAGGTTCACATTTTCACTATGAAAAAGAGAAATGGGTGAAGATAGAGAAGCCCCCCGGTTTAGGACACACATCGTTTTTCATTTCAACTGGTGTCCTTACATGACTGATCCCCCCCATTATGTTGTACATTCTGCGGGGCACCATGCCTGTGAAAAAAAGTAGTTGTCCTTAACCAAGGAAGCGTTCTGAGAAAATGGCGTCCTTAACCACGGGACGGCTGTACACCCCTCAGCGGTGGACCCTAACACTATCAAGAACCTGCTCTAGACAACGGCGGCGACGAAATAAGAGCGTACGCCCCTACACGATTTTGACGTTTTTTTTCTCCGGGCCCGTTCTGCAATAAGTTCTGCGAGCGGTCCGGTGAAAACCAGGCTCGCTCCGTCCCGGCTCTCCAGGGATGATAGGTCAGTCGATGGTCTAGCACCTACGGCGCTACGGCGGAACGCTTTTAACGTTAGCACACTCCTGTGACCACGGGCATCGACCCTGTCAAGTGTTCGACTATAATAGTACGGACAGAGGAAGGTACCCGGCAGAGAGAACGGAACGGTTTGCAATGTGAAGACAACGACAACACCAACACCTCCCTGCTCTTCCACGTCGTGTGCTTTGTCGTGCGCCCGTGCACGGTGCTGGTGAAGTTCTGCGAGTGGATGGAGGCCACCGACGACAAAGTCGACGAATCGGGAGGGGGCGACGAGGAAGATGATAACAACGGCGGCAGGGGCGGCGGCGGCGGCGGCGGGGGCGGGACAAGCATGGGAAGGGTAGGGGGCTTTCGCCCTTCCAGCGGGGGCAGCGACAAGAGCGTCAGCAAGCGCAAGATGCGAGACGCGCAGGTATTCATGCGCACGTACGATTAGACGGTGGCTTATGGCGCTGGCCCATGGGTTCAACGTAAAGTAGTGGGGGTCCCCATAAATAGGGCGGTCGCCCTACGTAGGGTTTATGAAATTGGGTCGATTTGACCGAACAATCAAGTTGTTCTACGCGTTGATGGAGGCGAGAGCCCCATTTAAGGCGGTCGTTACCAGCTGACCCATCACCGCCTCACTCGTGGATCCCTCGCTGCATAAATAATGGTCAGGGGCTATCTCGGTAGTTTAAAGGGTGGCTGAACCCTCCGCGATAAAAAAATTAAGACCAGCACCACAAGGGGAAAGGTGGAGCAGTAAAAGATTAGCAAAGCTCCTGTGTGAGGTTCCTCTTGTGCGTGGCCTTCCTCTTGTGTGACCTTCCTCTTAGGGGACCCCGGCTGATACGTCAGGTATATCCGCCGAATGGCCTGTCAACCGGCGCCAGAATGGATCAGACGAACGCACACACACACCACCGTAAAACGGCGGTAGTTTATTCAATCGCTCCTCTTTCCATCGAACAACATAGTCAGGGTAAAAAAAACGTTCCCTGGGGACGAACAC